CAGCTGCACAGTGGCTCTCGCAGCTGCAGATAAATCTGTCCTTTCACAAGGAGTGCCGGTGCTGTCAATAAATGCATGTGAAATCGACGCTGTGGTGCTGCGAGGCGGCGGGCCCAGCTTGTGCTCATGTGATGACACTGCAGTGTATCGATTGGCCGCTCTGTGGGAGGTGGGACCAGCTCCCATCCTTTCCCATGGTTTGAGGAGAGAACTGTAGTCAGATCAGATCCTAGGAGCCCATCTTAAACAGGCAATTCATTCATTCAGATTTTGCCTTTTGTCTTTGATAAATTTCTTCACACCATAAATCATAAATCGGAATCAAAAATGTACTTAGGAAAGCGGGTAATTTGTTTATGTTTTTTGTTTTGTACATCATCATAATCAGAACCAATCAATTAGCAGCAATGATCATACCACTATTATCACTAGTAAATGTGGTAGCAGGGGAGGGTCAGTTACTGGTGGCTAAATCAGAAACATTACAGCCTCCTGTGAATGAATCAGTGTAAAAGTGTTATGATACAGAATTGTACCTTTTTATTGTCGTGGTCTTTACTCTGAAAGCCCCGTTTTGTCCCAGATTCTATGCACATAGAAAACGTGGAGGCTGTACAAAAGCTGCAGGACACCCTACATGAAGCCCTGCAGGACCATGAAGGCAGCAGACACCCGGAAGACCCATGGAGGGCAGGAAAGCTGCTGATGACCCTGCCCCTCCTCCGGCAGGTCTCAGGCAAGGCTGTGCAGCATTTCTACAGCGTCAAAGTGCAGGGCAGGGTGCGCATGCACAAACTCTTCCTGGAGATGCTGGAGGCAAAGGTCTAAAAGGAGCTTGGCACTACCCAGGGAGACAAAGACATCGTAACTGCCCTTTACCCTTTACAGACACACGCACGGGTACCTTATGAAGGGCGAAAGACAGACTGAAGTTGACTTAACAGATTCATGGAAATGCTTGAGATTAATTTAAACATTATACTGTATATGTACATTATACTGAAGATGGAAGTGAGTTTTGGTTGTTCTATATCAGGATTGTCAGACTCCAGTCCTGGGGGGCCAGAGCCCTGCACATTTTTGGGTTTCCCTCATTTAACACACCTGATTCAACTCCTTGTTTACCACACAGCTCTTGAGCGGAATCATTTCTGGCTACGCTACACAGGGCTCCGGCCCCCCAGGACTGGAGTTTGGCACCCCTGTTCTATATGATCTGTGCAAATATGCAAAAACAAACCTCACCTCATTGCATATATCCAAAGGGAACCAAGCCCTGTGGCCTATGATGGGTATTTTCTCTCTGTATGCATAACACTATGCATTTCTTATCAAGACACTTTCAACAATCTTAAAGGTCTGGAAAAATGAGCAGTTTTTTCACGTTTTATGGACAAATATGCATTCTGTGAGGGTCATTGATGCAGAAACCTAAGGCATACCTCTTTCAAGTCTTCACATAGCTGTGTGAATAATAGGTCAAGTCTAAACAGGAGGCTGATTGTACTACAGTATATGCTAGTTTCTTCTGTATAATCTCAGCAATAAGAGATCAGAGAACCTGAGTCTTGCAGCTTAAACCACAGACCTTCTCGGACACTGTGAGAGACCTGGCCAGTGGTCATGGTGATTCAGTATCTGTGTGTGAGAAAGTATGAGTGACAGAGAATGTATTTGTTATTTTGTGTGTTGCCAAAGGATCAATCCCCCACAGAGAATAAACTTTCCATTTAAAATACTCACCAATCCACCAGGCACCGTAAGGTCTGAAAAGTATTTGGAGAGTGGGGGTATTCTAGAAGGCATTCCATGTGTAGACAATGGTTTTCAAAAACTCTGCTGCTTGTTGAAAGGTCTAGTCCACTGCAGGATTGAGTTGGACCCCAGTAGCACATCTAGCAGTGAGTAGCCTGTTTGTACATTTAGCTCCTTATGACACAGAAGCCCAAGTGTGGCTTCTGACATTCAAACGGTGAACAGTATCTAGCTGCCATCTTCTGATACACTAGCAATGTTAAGCTATGAGTGAATAAGTGTTGACATCGTTATGATACATGTAGCTATCTCAATGAGGTAAACAAGCTGTCACTCTTACTTTGTCTGCTACTACCCATAATGTTGAGGAGATAAAACAAATAATAAAGTCTTAAGGTAAAAGTTAAGACCGATCATCATCTTTCATAAGGATCTTTCAAGCTGTGTCCGTGATGCCAAGTGCTCCCTACACACAGCTACAATCACTACGTTAACCCAACTGCCCAATAGAGACTGCAATTGCAAGGAGTTATTTCAAGTTTATTGTACAAAACCAGTAAGTGATCCAACAGTGGATTATTCTGCTCCTGTTTTTTTAGGAACATATTTCCTATTTGGCTCTTGCCTCTTATTTGTTCACTGTATTTGTGCATTTTTGCTGAAGCCTGTATTTACTGAAATAATGATGGAGAATCAGAATCAAATAAATAAATAAATATGTGCTGTGTAATTTTTCCTTGACATGGTTCATTCTGGTGGTTCTTTTCTACAGTGATATGGTTTAACCAGTTACATAATTTTGGGAATAATAACAGTCTTGATTCTGAGTTTAATTTCTGTCTGTAATTCAGTTTGATTTTTTTGTATTTTTGTTTTCTCACGCTAGCCAAACTGCCAAGCAGTTTACCGACATTTCACAGTCTGTTTATTTTAGCTGTGGCATTCATTGTAACCATATAGCTCTTCATGTGATGTATTTGAAAAACAATTCAATGTGAGCTATTGGCATGGCAGACGTGACGGGAGAGACAGGGTAGTGACACATTGTTACTCACCATCAAAGTTTTATGTGAAGTTTGGAAGTAATTTTAGGAGGACATAAAAGATCATGATTTCTACAATTTGCATGCAAAGTAGATCATGGACGTCTTCAAGATCAATCACGATATAAAATTGTGAAATGGCCCAAACTGCTCTGTCCTGTACTGAGATGGAGGACTTTTACACAACAATTTCAACTAAATTTCACTTAAAATGCAATGTTAGAATTAAAGAGAGGTGAACCGCCTCATCATGCATTTGTCCTACAGAGGTAGGTGATTGATGAGTACAGGAGACAGTTGTTCCCGCAGACAGTTGTACTTTTCAATGATTCAATAATCTGACATAAAAATAAAGATATCTGCTTTTCTAGCAAACAGCAAGAATTTT